AGAAAGAGAAGCAACATTACGACGATGTGACAAAGGTTGGAGATTGGCTGCCAGAGCAGGTCCAACTATGTTTACAATTCGTTTTTGCACCTTGTCTAAAAGAGAAAGAGCATCATTAGAAGATCCGCCCCAGATGTGGCAACAGTATTCCATACAGGGACGGATTTGAGATTTATAGAGATAGAGAATAGAATCTGGAGTAAGAAAGTGTCGAGCTCGATAAAGAGATGCAACCTTAGCAGATGCTAATTTTGCAATGGATTTGATATACCGTTTAAAAGAAAGATCAGAAGTAAGAGTTAATCCTAGAAGATGAATGGTAGATGACTCATCTAGTACATTACCATTCATAAATATAGGAAGATCTAAATTATTACGATAACGATTGGCCGAATAAAATTGAGTTTTATCTGAATTAAAGTTCACCAGCCACTGTGAGCCCCATGCTGTAGCAGAAGTGAGATCCATTTCAAGCTCAGATACCCCCTCCAAGCAATCAGAGAGTGTAGGCTTCTTATCATGACAAGAGTAAATGGTAGTGTCGTCAGCGAATAATGCCACCTTAGATATGAGAATATCTGGGAGATCGTTAATGTAAATTAAAAAGAGTATAGGGCCAAGGATTGAACCTTGAGGAACCCCTGAAGTTACAGGATGTGAAGAAGAGTGTTGTCCATCGAGGACAACTTTTATACTACGATTGGAAAGAAAGGACTCAATAATCTTAAAGACGTTACTAGCTACACCATAAGAAGAAAGCTTATGGAGAAGACCAGCATGCCAAACTTTATCAAAAGCTTTAGAAATGTTAACCCCTCCACCTCTATCCAATGCACGGTAAAACCTATCGGTTATTACTGTTAGCACATCAGCTGTAGAACGAGAAGACCGAAATCCATATTGATGATCAGAAAGTAAGTTATTTGATTCAAGATGAGAGATTAAGTGTTTGTTGATTAAAGATTCAAAAACCTTGCTTATGACAGGAAGAAGACTAATGGGACGGTAGTTAGATGAATCAGATCGCTCTCCGGAATTTTTGAAAATATGGATAACAGATGCTGCTTTCCAGCATGATGGAAAACAAGACTCTGATAAGCACTTGTTAAATAGTTTAGAAAGTATGGATGAAAGCTCCGGAGAACACCTCTGCAAGACTACAACAGGAATGTTGTCAGGACCACAAGCTGTTGAAGAGTCTAAGCAGGAAATTACTTTAGATACAGAAGCTGAACTGATGCGAATGTCAAGCAAGGGATCAACCTGTTTGACAGCTATGTCAGGTAAAACGCAACTAGTGGAATCAAGAGATGATATTGATGAAAAGTTCTTAGCAAACAATTCAACTTTGTCTTTAGGTGAGGTGACAAAGTCTGAACCATACAAGAGAGAAGGAATAACAGATTTGCCCTTATTATTGATACTGTTAAAGATTCTCCAGAAGTCTCGAGAGCCTAATTTTTGTGATGAGATACGAGATTTAATGACCTGGGAATAGCGAGCTTTGGCGTCAGACAAAACCTTTTTACAATGGTTTCTGGCGATAGTGAACAGATGTCTGTTTTCTGGAGAATTGTTTTGCTGATAGATATGGAAGTAACGGTTTCGATTAGAAATTGCTGCAGCGCAATGTGAGGAAAACCAAGGAGAAGAGTGAGGCTTGACCTGGAATCGTCGAGAGGGAATAAAAGATTCCATGCCAGCCTGAATCCACGAAGTTATGTAAGAAGCACATTTGTCAGTAGGAAGACAAAAGATTTCTACCCAAGGGCCATCACAAAGAAAATCACGGAAAGAGTCCCAGTCAGCTTTAAGGTAGTTGTATGTGGTACGATGATAGGGGGATTCTGATGAAGTAGAAGAATTTGATAATAGTTTTAGAGAGATCAAACCGTGATCAGAAGTACCTAAGGGTGAATGTGGAGAAGTTGAGCACTGACTTGGATCCAAAACAAGACATAAGTCGAGTAGAGAAGGTAAATGATTAGGGTTGTCTGGAAAACGAGTTGGAAAGTTGACTATTTGAGTTAGAGATTGAGAAAGGCAAAAGTTGAGGGCCTTAACGCCAGCAGAGTCACTGACACTAGAGCCAAGCCAATTGGTGTGATGGGCATTAAAGTCACCAACAACGACGATATTGGCCGATGGATAAAGAGAGAGGGCTTGGTCAATTTGATCAGAAATAACATCAAGAATAGTGCAATCTTGGGATGAAGGAGAGCGATATAGAACAAAGAGAAAGGCGATAGAGTGAAGTTGTGCTAAACGAAAGCACATAAATGAATAGTCTGTAGATTCAAACCTAGTTTCACGACAAATGGGTGAGTTCTTACGAATGTAGATGCCCAGACCAAGCATGTGATTATTGGAGTCTTTACGAATTAAAGGAAGATAACCATCAACACTAAGATCACAAGATGGGACAGCTGAACTCAAATTAGTCTCACAAAGAGCAAGTAGGTCTGGTGAACTTTGCAAGAGATAAGACTCAACAGAAGAAAAGTTACTTCGAAGACCACGAATATTAGTAAATGATAGGTTTAGAGAACTTGGTGATGACGATGGTTTTTTGTGTTTTTTAGTTTTAGGTACTTTAGTCATTTTAAATTTATAAAGAACTTGACTCAAGTATAGATAGTACTCAGTACACTATTTAACAACTAAGCAATAGCCTCATTACTATTAATAAACCCTAAGCCGTAACAAAGGGCTCCAAATGTGGCCTCTGCAATGCACACCAAAAGTACAAACAGGGACACCATCCATGCGCAACATGGCACTGTTAGTACTCTGATATTTTTCGGCTGTTGATGGAATCAGCCTCTCTGAGAGCTACCACAGAGTTCGGGAAACCTGACTACCAGCCGGCCTGAGAACCATAAAACTGAGTTTTAGAGCTGTACCCTCATTAGGAGATAATAGAATGAGTTGCCCAGTCATAAAAATAGAGACACAAGCAATACCCACGCATTGAGTCAAGAAGATCCAGCGTTCAACATCCTAAACTGGAAACAATGTATTAAAAATACATCTGCGCCAGCCTAATAGATGAGGAAGGGGTGCGAGGCTGGTCAACAGATAGAATCTGTTTACCCCTTAAGTCTTTGTCTAGGAGGCCTTCTACAAGACAGCAGCTGGATGCATGTAACATCTGCCCAAGATGAGTATTTTTATCGAGACACCATCTCTAGCCTTTACTCAACCAAGAGCCCCAAGGCAGGGGGTGTTTTAATTCGGAGTTAACTTCTCCTAGCCTTTGCCTAAAAAAGCGTATCCTACAAGGCAGCAGGACATGGAGCAGGTTGTACTGGGTTACATGTTACCAGTAGCAGGAAAACCTGACCTGACATATGATATATTAAAATTATTATTTTAATATATCATATATCAATATATTAAAATTATTATTTGGTGATTTCTGGCTTACAAATTAATCAATAAATCAGTTATGAAAGTGTCATGTAAATGAAAAAAAATAAAAATTCTAAATCAGTAGTTGAAAACATAATATTAGACTATCAAACAAATCATAGCAACTCATAAATGTGATTCAAATGGTTGATGCTGTTTTTAAAAAAGGTTAAATTTATCTTTGTCTATTATCCATTGAGAAAGAGAACTCCAATCATTTGTAACTCTGTTTGTGAAGAAATGATGAGGAATTCTTGAATTGGTAAATTATCTGCATATTCTACAATTATTACTTCTACTTGATCGTTCCAGCTCACAATTTAATGGTGAAAAATATTTTTCCGATTTAAGATCTTACACATTTGAATCAGATCGCCTCTTCTTCTTCTATCGTGCAAAGTTGGCAACTCAAGTATCTTTTTTCATACAATTTCCCCCTTAAAGATTTGATTCTAATACCCCTTCTAATACCCCGTATTGCACAAGTTTAAGATTGTCAATGTCTTTCTTTCAAATAGACTCCAAACTGTTGCTCTATTTTCCAAATGTGGACATACTAACAATTTATATTTTAGCTTTAATGAAAATTTATCTAAATAGTCAAAAGAGTTTTTGATCATGCTTTCTGTTTTTTTCTGTTTGCTTTGCCTATAGCTGAATTAATATGATATTTCCACTCTCTTGATTATCAGTAGTTATGATATCATTATATAGCTTTATTGCTTTGATAGAGTCTTTAAATATTGTTTTCTTTAAATTTCAACGTTTAAATTTTCTGTTTAAAGTTTTATTTTATTTAAAATTTAAAGTTTAAATTTTTTGTTTCCTTTGCTTAATTAGCTGAATTAATATGATATTTCCACTTGATTATCAGTAGTTATAATACCATTAGATAGCTTTATTGCTTTGATAGAGTCTTTAAATATTGTTTTCTTTAAATTTCAACGTTTAAATTTTCTGTTTAAAGTTTTATTTTATTTAAAATTTAAAGTTTAAATTTTTTGTTTCCTTTGCTTAATTAGCTGAATTAATATGATATTTCCACTTGATTATCAGTAGTTATAATACCATTAGATAGCTTTATTGCTTTGATAAAGTCTTTAAATATTGTTTTTTTTTTATATATGCATAGACACTTTAAGGATTGTTTTTTGAATTAAGTACCAAGTTTCTTTCAAAATTGTGAATACTTTTTTTGACAAGTTTTTTTTATATCTTTTCTTAATTTTTAATACTTATAGATTTCTAAAAGACTTTTAAAACCTAAATTTCTGTTTCAAAACAATTTTTTCTTTCTTAATATATACTTTTAAGTTCACTTGTCATGTACAGTGAGTTGTTTTTGTGTTGAAATGAATTTTTATCTAAATTCAGTGTTGGAACAAAAGTATTATTAATAATAAGTTTATGTTAATAATGTATTATTAACAATCTGAACAGTACATGTAAAATTTGTTTAGAATACTGCTAATTAAATTTAAATTATTTAATTATAGTAAATGTAATACAATTTTGTAAAAATTGTACAACATTTATTATAATATTTTAATTAAACAGGAAATTATTATGTAAAAAACACATAAACTTACGAAGATTTACGTTTTCCCTCGCCACTATATTTAAATTTTTGACCACCATGGATACAACAATACTTGATGAAATAGTATTTAATTTGAGGTGCCATATCAGCAGCTTTTTTAGGAATAGATTTTCTAGCACTCTCGATAGTTCTGGCATCTCTAATCCACAATTTAGTAAAATTGCTATCTTCGTATTTTTTTATGTTTTCTTTTAGGATAAAAAATGACGAAAAAGAATCTAAACAAGTAAACACGAAAGCCATTTTTACTATATAATATTATTATGCGAGTTTATATCACTGATCTCTATAATAACTGGATAGCGCATCTCTAATATCAAAAGTGAAGCCAATATTTTGTACGGCCGCCATATTGGAAAGCCCCAGAATACCGAAAATACAGTGATTGCGCTTGAAGATGTACCTTTTTACTTCGTTTATATCTACTCGACCAAGTCACATATTTCAATGATATTATTATATTTAAAATGTTTGAAGGTGTAAAAATTATAAAAGGGAATCAAAAACACGCAGAACATTAACGACGAAGAGAAATATCGCTATAAAGAAATAATAAAATTTGTATTGCTTTCTATGAACTTGTTAAATTTATTGAATTCATGATATTCTAAATAAAACTCTTCTAAAAGACAAATTGATATTTGATCTGGTTACTTTTGGGTGTTTATTTTGACAACTTGATGCGACCTTACTTAGCAATAGTAGCTGGAAAGTAACTTTACAAGTATAAAACATGATAAAAACATTGTATCAAACATTTTTGTAAATGGTTTTCTAATTTTTGAAACTCTGAGGGCATGTTTATATTGTTCCACAACTGAAATATCATCAACTATGCAATACTTTATTAAAATTGATATCACTTAATAACAATGTTTTGTTTTGTTGCTTTGCTAACTTTAATTACACTTTTGAAGGTTTGAAAAAGCCATCTCTAACTTTAAAAAACACTGGATATTTGGTGATAACTAGTTATTTGCAGTTTTACATTAAAGTATTTAGTGTTTTAGACTAAATAACAGCATCACATACATGTTGATTGTTTATATGTAGATATGGTATAAATGAAAACAGACATGGTTTCTTTCAAGTTTTTCTATTGACTCTAAAGTAAAATAATAATGATTCAGCTAACATCTATCAGTTTTATACTGATAAATATTAGTTGTATAATTTATAAATATTTAAAATATCTCTTGTGAAAACAAATAAGCAACATAAAAGACCAAAATGAAAGGTGAACAATTTTTTTTCTAAGTGTACATACTTTTTTACTTTTCCCTACCACATAATACCTTTTTATTCAATGTTTATTTTGTTATTCAATGCTTATACAAGTTATTCAATGATTATTTTGTTCAAGATGATAGAGCTAACTATTATTTTATTTATATTTTTTTACTTTAACATATTCTTTTGTAATTGCAATATCTTATACAAATGTTCTGGTGTTGTGAAAATGTCTAATGGCATTTACAAAAATGTCTTGAAAGTATTTTTCGACAGTTAAGCGTTAAGTTAATTTATATATATATATATATATATATATATATATATATATATATATATATATATATATATATATAATATATATATATACACGCAAGAACAAAATTATTAAAAGTAAATATAAAGATTTGCTATATGTTGCCTTAGGAACCTTTAGGTTGTGTTACAATCACATTGCCTAACTAATGATTCATACAGCAAACTTGTAAGCTGTTTATCTTGCAAATATGTTACAAGCCTCAGGCATTTTGCAGAGGGCAATTAAGAATCAAAAGGTGCATACTAATATACACTTGCATGCTATTATAATAATATTATACCAGGGTGGCCAGCTAACTGGAAATCATGGAAAAGTCAGGGAAATTTTTTTCTGGTCAGGAAAATCAGGGGAAAATGTCTTTTTTGAAAATTTAATTTTTTTTAAAGGTTTTTATTTACTTACTCCCAAACAACAAAACTTAAAAATTCACACTTCAAAATATAACTGAGTCAGGGAAAAATATAAAAAGTCAGGGAATTTAATTCTTGAAAGTGGCTGGCCACCCTGTATACATAATTTATATATATATATATATATATATATATATATATATATATATATATATATATATATATATATATATATATATATATATATATATATATATATATATATATATATATATATATATATATATATATATATATATATATATGTCACTCTCCATGAAATAATCTGAACATATAACATCAGATTTACTCAGTTTTTAATAATCAATGCATTTATAAGGTTTTTGCATTTTTTTTCGATAGAAGGTCTTCGCAAATGGCGGTCGCGTTTTTTTAACCGTTAAAAAAGCTCAAGTGAAGGTAAAGAATAAAGTTAAACTCAAATTAAAAGATAAATATCGTTTTTAAAAAAGTCACCTTTAAATCATAATCACCTATCTTAATCAAGTCAATAATCTTATAAATTAATTTAAAACAAAACAAATCAAAAATTTACTAAAAGGTAAACAGAATTTCGAACTAAAAAAAAAAAAAAGAAAAAAAAGAAAAGAACTCTTCCGTAAAACAAAAAAAAAAAAAAAATAAATAAAAAAACGAGAGAGAAAGAAAAAGTTAACCAATAAAAAGAAACAAAAGAAGAAAAGAAGAAGGAAAAATAAAGAAAATTACAAACAAAGAATAAGAAGATTGGTTGTTTTATACTTTTTTTTTAACGATTTATTTGTAATAATATACTATAATTTTTTGTGTTTCTAATTTTATTATTATTAATTTTCTTGAATTATATTATTATATTTTAAATAATATTCTTTTATTATATTATTATTTTTCTTGTATTTTATAATTATTTTTCGTTAATATAGTTAATAATTTTTTGTTTGATGTTTTTTTTTGTTTGTTTTTTTTTAGTTGTTGTATCTTTAATTGTTATTTATTTATTACACATATATTATCTGCTATTATATTATTTATTATTAAATTAACTATTTAAAATTCTTAATACTATATATTTTTTATGATTACTGGTTAATTATTATATCCTTTATTTTTAAATTATACTATATTTATTTATTATTGATTTATGCCATACTTTATATGTTATTGCTTTGTTTTTAACTTATATTTTTACATGGCAATTAAGTACCATTGTAAGTTCTGCAATAAAGCAGTGGCCAATCATCAAAGAGGCATTTTATGTGATTGTTGTTCTTCTTGGGTTCATGCTAAGTGCAATTCAATCAACAAATTTTCGTATAACCTTCTTGTCAAAGACACTTCTGACTGGTATTGTAGTGATTGCATAATTAAGAATATGCCATTTAGCACACTTTCGGACTTAGAATTTTCTTTAACTGTATCATGTCAGACTCGACCAACTAGTACCTTAAATTCTTTAGAAAGTCCATTACAATTTTACAACTTTTTTAAGGATATAAATAAAATCTCTAATACTTATTTCAACTGCAAATACTACGATATTCTTGATCTCAATAAAACTTTAAAATCAAATTCTGAATTGTACCTTCATCTAAACATTGGTTCTTTGCACTTTCATATTGATGAACTTCGCAGTCTCATAAGTTCACTTACCATTTTTCCAACAGTATTTGGAATTTCGGAGTCTAAATTGTATATTAACGATCCCAATATAACTGACATTAGTATAAATGGTTATAACATCGAACAATGCTCTACTGAAGCTAAAAAAGGAGGTGCTCTTCTATACTTAAAATCCGATCTAAACTACAATATCAGAAGAGATCTTATAGTATATGCCCCAAAATTTCTAGAATCTGTCTTTATTGAAATTGTTAATCCTTTTAAGAAAAATATCATTGTCGGCTGCATATACCGGCATCCTTCAATGAACCCAAAGGAATTTATTTCTGATTATTTTAATCCTTTACTTGAAAATCTTAGTTATGAAAATAAACAGGTTATGTTAATGGGTGACTTTAACATGGACTTACTAAACTACAATGAATCCCTTATTATATCTGATTACCTTGACTCACTTTGCTCTTATTCTTTTTACCCAACAATAATTCAACCAACGCGAGTAACCTGTAATTCTAAAACAATTATTGATAACATCTCTTAAATTTTCAAATTCCTAATCTTATTTCTGGTAACGTAACAATATCAATTTCAGATCACATGGCACAGTTTGTTTGCATTCCTAGTACTCCTTTCAAAAGAAAAAAATCCATAACAACTAAACGATCATTTAAGAATTTCAATGATAATGAATTTATTCAGGATATTTCTAATATTGACTGGAAGTTTTATATCAGAAATGGTGATGATGTCAATGAATCAATGAACTTCTTTTTAAAAACATTCAACACAATTCTTGATCGTCATGTCCCGTACAAAAAACTAACCAAAAACCAAGTTAAACTCAAATCTAAACCTTGGATTACTAATGGAGTTCTGAAGTCAATTACAATTAAAAATAAGCTCTACAAAAAGTATATAAAATCTAAAAATTGCAACACAAAAAGTCAACTATTTGATAAATTTAAATTGTACAGGAATAAAATTAGCAATTTATTAAGAATTTCCAAAAAGTCATACTACATCTCCTTCTTTAACAAAAACTTCAACAATATAAAAAATACATGGAAAGGAATAAAAGAAATTATTAATATCAAACCCTCTACACCAATTAAATCTTACACTCTTAAGTCTAACGGTTACACTATCTCTGACAGTATGGCTGTTGCTAACATTTTTAACAAATACTATGAAACAATACAACACCCACCCAAAAGTAAAATGATTTCTTCTAAAAGTATCTTCTCTGACTATTTAAAAAATGCTAATTCGAATTCTTTCTTTCTTAATCCAGTGACTGAAAATGAGGTATCTAATTTAATAAAAAATAGTTTACAAAATGGTAAAAGTTTTGGACCAAATAGTATCCCCACACACCTTCTTAAACTTACTTCTCATGTTATTTGCAAGCCTCTCTGTACCATATTAAATAATTCTTTTAATAAAGGTCTTTTTCCAGATGTTTTTAAGATAGCCAAAGTTATTCCTATCCATAAAAAGGGTTCTCTAATGGATCACAGAAACTATCGACCAATTTCTCTTCTATCTAACATTAGTAAAATATTTGAAAAAGCCATGTACAACAGACTTTATAGCTTTCTTGACAAAAACCAATGTCTTTACAAACATCAGTATGGGTTTCGTAACAAACACTCCACGACTCATGCACTTATTAAAATAACTGAAACTATTAGAAATGCTCTTGACAATAAGCTTTTTGCATGTGGAGTGTTTCTTGACTTAGAGAAAGCCTTTGATTCTGTTGATCACTCCATCCTCTTAAAAAAATTGGAACACTACGGTGTTCGAGGTAACACTCTCCAATGGTTTTCATCATATCTTTTTAATAGATCGCAATTTGTCTCCATTAATGATGCCAAATCTTTTCCAATAAAATGCTCCACTGGTGTACCCCAAGGTTCTGTATTAGGACCACTGCTTTTCCTTATTTTTATAAATGATCTTAATATCTCTCTAAAATTTTCAACGGCTTACCATTTTGCTGACGACACCAACTTACTCATAACTAACAAATCATTAAAAAAAATTAACAAACATATTAACCATGATTTATCTAACCTTCTTCAATGGCTGCGCTCTAACAAACTAAGTCTTAATACCAACAAAACTGAACTCATTATTTTCAAATCTAATCAATCTAAAATGTGTAAAAACCTAAACTTTAGACTAAGTGGACAAAAAATTTTTCCCTTACTTTCATTAAAATATCTTGGAATCCAAATTGACTCAGATCTATCCTTTTCCTCTCATCTTAAAAACTTAGCAGTAAAATTGTGTAGATCAAATGGGATGCTAGCCAAAATTCGCCACTATGTCAATTATGAAACACTACTTAATATATACCATGCAATTTTTGGATCTCATCTTAGATACGCTTGTCAGGTTTGGGGACAATGCAAGTCTAATGCTTTTTTAAGGTTATGTAACCTACAAAACAAAGCTTTAAAAATAATATTCTTTCAACAGTATCATTCTAACTCTGACATCCTTTACTTTCTATCAAAAATACTCAAATTATGTGATCTTGTTTATCTATTAAATTGTCTATTTGTCTGGAATCATAAACAAGTAAACCTCCCTCCGTCATTCTCCAATTTTTTTACCACTAAAAAAAGTTCTCGTTA